CATTCCCTATATACTAAACATGCTATATAAAATTTACAAGAAATAATTTTTGTATCAACTAAATCATCCTGACTTATTAATAAAAGTTTGTACAATAGAAAATAGGTATTCATTTTCAATATCATTTAACGTTTCATCTCCCCAGAGTAAAGTGTGAGTATGGACAGTATGTAATTTACCCATTCACAAAAAATTGTCAAAAAAAAAAATTCTTTTCTAGCTTCTGTATATTTTTTGCATGAGAAGAAATAATGATGTCAGAGTATCCTCCACACTTCCACAAGAACATAGGGAACTCAAGATTACATTACATCGAAAAAAGATCGCTTTTAAAACTTAAAAGGACACAGTTTTGTCGAAGCCTCGTATGTATTATATTTAAGCGTCGAATTCGGACAATTTTCTTTGAAAAAAATTTAATAACTTTGAAGTCTTATATTGTTCAAACATTATAACCCTGTAAATCTGTAACATGGAGGACAAGTGTCTGGATAAAGTAATTTGAGCAGTCTTTTATATATAAAAAAATCTTTCAATTTGGTTTCAACCAGTTCAAAATATCATTTGACCAATGCATATTGAATTTTGGCTCATTCCAAAAGATTGTACTGTAATGTTTTTGTTTTATATGAAAATATGTTATTGTTATAAGTAAAACTGAGATAAGAATTTTGTTTATCTGATAAGTCCTAACCATGGTACCTGATTAGCGCCCTTATCTTGGAAGTCTAATTAGTGTCCTAATTAATATGGTGCTTATCAGATACTATAAATATATTGTGTCTTGACACCTAATTATGGTGCAGAGGCCCTAATACTTGGAGCCGATTGCCCTAACAGGGTGCCCTAATGATGGAGCCTAATGCCCTAATAGGTGCCCTAACGATGGAGCCTAACGCCCTAACTAGGTGCCCTAAATCACGTTAGGTGTCAGACAGGGTATATAAGGAGAGAGAGTTAGTGAGTTGATATACATAGCTTGGATTTGATTTATAAAACTACTCTTGGATATTATTAATACACTCGTTGAAACGAACTTTGTCGTTGTTCTTATGTTAGATCTATAAAGATCTAAAGTTCCTATCTTCTACACGGGATCCACAATATTTTGTGACGCGGGTAACAACAAAACACCCCATAGAGAAAAACGTTACAATTGGTGGCAGCGGTGGGATCCAAAGAAGTTATTCTACGTGTAACACCGGAACGGGACAGCACTGAGTTTGAAATGGAGACACCCATTGTAAGGAGGAGATTTACGCCTAGAAAGGTAGAACAGTACTTTGACAGTCCAACTCCTCTGAATGACTCTGGAATAGAGGTCAATTCTGGGTGTACAACAGATTTGCAGCCAACAAGTCGAGTTATGCCAGACAGTCCTAACTTTCAGGAGTTCGGGCAAAACTCGCAGGGTCATTCTGTTTTCAACGAGTACAATCCAAGACCAAGCTTAAAGAGAATCCTATTTATTTGGGTAATCTTTGCTTTGATAGGATGTTCTCTGTTGATGATGTCCTGGACCTATTTTCCAGAAAGCAAGATCGTACAGAAATCGCATGAAAATGCAGTTATTTCTCTGGTATCTGTAACAAGTATGGTATTGCTTGTTATGGTAATCGGCGTAGCATGGAAGTACGGAAAATCAGATCTGACAAATGCCAGTAAGAAAACGGAAATTTCTTTGACACCTAATGATACACCCTATACTGGTCGTAGTGAACTTAATGCCCCTACAGGTACCTATCAGGAACCTAAGGTTTTTGGGCAATCTGGACGCACTACTCCTCATTTGGGCAATCAGTCCCCTCAGGGACTCGGGTGCAATTTTGAATTTCCTATGGCTGACGGAACACCTACAAACAGTCCTATGACAACAAATGCTGGTCAACGAACCAATGAATACCCAGTAAGGAGGACTTTCTCAGGGGCCAATGATGATGTTTGGGATGAGTTCCTACAATATTTTGGAAACATCTCAGAATTAAACTCATGGGGACCCGAGAAATCTCGCAGAGTCTTACTTAGCACCTTGCGAGGGCAGGCCGAGAGTTATGCCTATGGAATGCCCCTTACTGTACAGAAAGACTATGAGGAACTAAAAGAGAAAATGAATCAAAGATTTGGACATTCTGCAATGAAAGAAAAATATATTGCAGATGTCAAATTAAGGAGAAGAAAACCTGGCGAGTCCCTGCGAGATTTAGGACAGGCAATCGAAGATCTGTACCGAAGGGCCTATCCAGGAAATCCAGATTTAGTGGAAGAAAATGCTATACAGTCCTTCCTAGATAAGTGTGGACAATCTGAGGATTTCCGACTTGCAGTGAAACGGACCAGACCCAGGACACTTCAGGAAGCAGTTCTTAACGCGATGCAAGAAGAGTGCTTGCGGATTGGAGAAAAAGAATTGCCAAAGGAGACAAAACCAGGCTATTGGCCTGTGTATGAGACTGAAGATGGGGAATTGAACGATGAAATAGCAGCTGCGGATACTGCCAAACCTCAAAGCGCGGGTGACGGATTCAACAGTATCTATAAAAACATAAGAACCCCGAGTACATGTACCAGTGCAGGACCAGGGAGGAGGGGACGCCCTTACAACCCATGGAACCAGAGAGAAAGAGGAGGATTTCTATCAAGTAACAGTTCTCGAGACCATAACTGTGTTGAAAAGAGAACTGTAAGGAATTATATTAACTAAGATGACTGATGCCGCAGGTCAGGTGTCAGTCAACCTTACACGGCCTATAACCTAGGGAGGAAAAGCCTATATCAAAAAAGTGAAGAGAAAATGTGAAGAAAAAAAAAAGGCCAGGGAAATCCAAATATGTGAAGTTTCCAGTGTGATGAACTTTTGATCTAATCTAGTGACATTTTTATTTGAAATAATTTTGTTGTTTTACTTTGTGTCTTTTTATTGATTGTTTGGCTTTTGTGTATTGGGCATTTTTTATTTGCGTAATGTGACTACATTAGGGCTGTATCAATATATCGATATATCGATACGTATCGATATTCAGGAAAAATATCGTATCGAAAAGTAACTTCCAATACGTATCGGACAGACATTTTTTCTTCAAATTCTGTTTAAAAGATGGAAATTTCAATCACCAAAGATTTTATTTTACTTTTTTGAATTAAAACCTTCAAAAATTATATAATTTCTAAGGAAATAACACAGTTTTTATAATTATTACAAAATACAAAGAGAATTTTTTTAACCTGTTGATTTTACTGTTATCAAAAGTTTTGATTGAAGTGTTATTTTAAAAGACAATGAGACAAGAACTTTAAAAATGGGTAATAAAACACTTAATTGCTATGAAATGTATGCATTAAAATGATTTAGAAGCCTTTTCTGATGGACTTGTTTCAGGATCCAATATATCGCATATCGCTTTAAAAAATATTGTATCGTATCGTATCGAAATGTTTGGCTCAATACACAGCCCTAGACTACATATAACTCATGTTAATGTTTTAAAAATTTATGACAGTGGAAGTCATGTTTCAAAAGGAGGGACCAATGTAATGTTTTTGTTTTATATGAAAATATGTTATTGTTATAAGTAAAACTGAGATAAGAATTTTGTTTATCTGATAAGTCCTAACCATGGTACCTGATTAGCGCCCTTATCTTGGAAGTCTAATTAGTGTCCTAATTAATATGGTGCTTATCAGATACTATAAATATATTGTGTCTTGACACCTAATTATGGTGCAGAGGCCCTAATACTTGGAGCCGATTGCCCTAACAGGGTGCCCTAATGATGGAGCCTAATGCCCTAATAGGTGCCCTAACGATGGAGCCTAACGCCCTAACTAGGTGCCCTAAATCACGTTAGGTGTCAGACAGGGTATATAAGGAGAGAGGGTTAGTGAGTTGATATACATAGCTTGGATTTGATTTATAAAACTACTCTTGGATATTATTAATACACTCGTTGAAACGAACTTTGTCGTTGTTCTTATGTTAGATCTATAAAGATCTAAAGTTCCTATCTTCTACACGGGATCCACAATATTTTGTGACGCGGGTAGAAACAAACACCCCATAGAGAGAAAAACGTTACAGTACATAATTTGTGTGATAAATTCATATTTTAATCACATAATATACAGTTACACTCTATTTTGATAATATTTACTCTGACGCGATATCGCTAGAGCTTAAATTCTTCAAGTATGATGGTGTCCTTTGCATAGTGAAGAACTCACTCTAATTTAAATTTATTGCAAAAAATAACTAAATAGAAACTAAATAGCAGTTAGGAGAGAATTGGTTTATTTGAAATGAGTGATTTCAATATATGTGGAGTAGGCTGCTTATAATTTCTAGAACTACGTGCAAAACTATCTTTCCTTTTTGAAAAAATTGATAACAGCCATTAACTTAAAATATTTAAAAAAAAAGTTATCTATGGAAATTTAGCAGGAAACAATATTGTCACCCAGGTTACAAATCACTTCATGAAAACATTCTAGACACGCTCTGCATTACCTTAAACTCAATGTGTCATCGCACAACATATACATGAACCATTTGCTTTCAGGTCATCACAATAGGAAACACACTCAGTTGCATCACAATCATGTGAATTCCTTAATCTGAATGTGTGTGATTTCGCAAGAAATTATGCAGCTGCTTTTATACAAGTAAGTTCAAGATACTTACCGCTGTTTAACAGTACTTTGCTTCAAGTGTTTCTACAGCTGTAAGTAACTGTTGTTTTGATTTCAGTAAAGAAAACAAATTACAAGGAAGTGAATTCGTCAAACTATGCCTATTGTTCATTTTATTTATAAAACCGCTTTTCTGTACTTTCACTTTCGATTTCATAATTCACTTGATAATTAAAGAAATCTTCTTTCATGGAAGACATTGGTTAATAATTTCACAGTATAAAGTAAATTAGCTACTATAATTAGTTGAAACCAATGACTAATTTGACAAGCATTTTATTTTTCAGTTAAATAAAAAAAGTATCTGAATACGGACCTGCGGCTCGGATTTTATTTTCCTTTGGATCCTGAAGCAGAATGGATCCAAGGGAACTTCACTGGAAACATTCGCTGTTAGAGCAACTCCGACAGCGGGACAAAAAGGAGAAGGCACCGTTCGAGTCTTTGATTGCTTCACGTTAGTGATTTACTACAGCTATTTATCTCTTATCCGGGAAGTTGACACTACAATACAACTGGTTTGTGTGGTGAAAAATGCACTCCCCCAAGATTTCTTATTTATAAAATAGTTGTACTTTATATGTCACTCCACACTAAACCTCTAATTAATGTTGGAAAGACTTTATCATGTAACAGGAAGATTACAACTGCAATATGCTAAGTATTTTAGGAAATAATGTTTAGTCCGAATTTCCTCTACACTAAGGAGTGTTGTTAAAAAATTCCTTTTCAGTGTTGGTTGATTTAACCTCAATCCTCTATGAATTATGAAGATGTTATTAAATTACAGATTGGAAACATTTTGAAAGTGCACAAACTTTGAAGACAAAGAATGTACAACTAACAGTTGAGACAGAAAAACTAAAGGAAGAAAATCTTGGACTGCAGATCAAAGCTGAACAAGGGCAAGTACCAGATCTAAAAATGTGACCTCACATGAAATTTAGGGCTTGCTATCCAGAAAACTCTTACAAGACAATTTGAAAAAAAAAAAAATCACTTATTTCGTAGGGGAATACTTGTCTTGTTTCATGGATTTTCTGCATTCCGTTTCCGGATTTAAAGAAGACATCTTGTTTTAATTTCTTGAAAGTAAATTTGATAACAGCAAAAAGTTACTTAAACGCTAAGAAATAATTCTCTTGGTTCATTTTTAGTGGAGGGGGAGGGGGAGGAAACAGCCAGGCCCTGGAACAGAAACTCTTTAAGCTTCAGGAGGAACTCACAGAACTTCACAGGAGGAGAGGAGAGGTACTCAGCAGTTAATTTCCAAATAGGATCAAATACATGTATTCCATCAGATTATCCCTTAATATGTTTTACGGCGTGACCGTTGAGGCGAGCGCAGTTGTACTATCAAAACACTTGAAAAATTGATCAGCCACTTCAAACATCAAGTCGCACGAGACATCTAGACTAGCTTTGACGTCACATGACGTCATGGAGCTCGTCGGAGCTTACGGAACCGGCCGAGCGTCTGTTTTAAACTATAGATCTAGCACAATTTCGGTCGAAAAACATTGCAGAGTTATTTTTTGTTTCTTTGAAAGATTTCTACAAACTGAAAGCTTTTTATGCTTTACGTTATTGTTTATTTATTTATCTATTTCACGGAAGCAACCGACATGACTTAATTAGCATATCGTCAAAATTCGTAAGTTTCCGGTGACGTCATTTGTATCATTTCCGAAGGGTAAGGTGAAAGCCAGTGTTTTGGCATGGGGGTATTATTTTTGAATAAGGTAAGGCAAAATCATTTCGTTAAGATTTCGGTAAGAAACAATGTTCCTTTATTTTTTTTACTATTTTTGATTTATTTGCGCAAAGGACATTGGGTAGTGCAGGAATTCTGGGAATGTTGCACAGAGAAATTTGGCTGACGTATGTACAGATTTCAATCCGAATTTCCTCTGTTCTTACACGTTAGTCTATTGAGCTCGCTGCGCTCACTATAAAAAGAGCTATACATTTGTCTTTCATATTTTGAATCAAATTCAGAATTCTGTTATATTTATCATTCTTATTTGGATTGTTTGTGAAACCAATGTTATTCCATTGTAGAACACACAACAGATAATTGACCTAAATAATGCCCTTCAAGATAAGGAAAAGGAACTTCAAGGAAGGGATGCCAGGTGACTAATTTTCTTGTAACCTTAATTGAGCTGAGAATCTCAAGAGAGATTTTTGGTCTTTGTGGCCATAAAGATGAGCTCACTCTTGATCCCAGTCTCACTTTTCCGCTAAATAATCCTTTTGTAAAAATGAGACTTAATTTAAACAATATTTTATTCACAGATGTTAAGGTGAACAGGATTGGGCAGCAGGATTAGCCTATTTTAGCCTGCTCCCTACATCAAGGTCAAGGTGAATAATGAGACTTGGTTCAAAATTGAGCTCAACTATGTCCCGGAGCCTGGCCACCTATTGTCTATAGTCTCTGTCTGTCTAGCTGTATACTGTATGTCCATCTGTAAACATTTCACACTTTCAACTTCTTTCTGAGCACCACTTAACCAATTTTAACCAAAGTTGAAACACTGGATAAATGGGGTTGTAAAGTGTTCAAATATAGGACTAAGGTGTAAGACAGAGCCAGAAAAGGTGATCAAATTTTTACATTATTTGGAAAATAAAGGGTGAAAAAATCCTCTTCTCGAGAACCACGGCATCTGCAAAGATGAAACTTGAGCTTCCTGGTATGATTAAGATTTTAATGGCTCAAAGCATAGCCTACGGGAGTAGTGTGGGAAAAAAGTTTTATGGAATGTACTGTAAACTAACCTTTATTTGCTTGCGAGAAATATCCGCAAGTTCCATGACCTACTCTAACTCGCGAATATTAATCACCACAAACCATTCATTTTCCTTAAGTATTTGTAGGTAACGTTTTCTCAGTCGCAAAAATTAATTGTCGCCAATTCATTTCAAATTGATGAATCACGAATAAAAGATGATGCGGTTAATAGGTGGTTTACAGTATTGAAACAAATCTTTAAATCAAAGTTTTACATAAGGAAAACTTTTTTTCTTATCAGAGTCATGATTGAAAGTATTTATATCAAAGCATTCCCAGGTAGTGTAGATTTAAGTTTGTTCAAATCATTTTCCCCTTTCCACAAAACCACTTTTATATTAAAAGTTTACAATAATGACTGATTTCTGCTTTTTCCTATCCAAAGTGCTTGGGAGCAATGTGACCCATTGGCCTTTTGTTAGGCATTATGAAATTTGTGACAGTTTACCAGTGAAAGGCTATAAAATTCAGTGATCTTGTAATGTAATACATCTTTTTTTTTCAGACTAAATGATCTACTTGCAAATGAACTGGCACTGAAGATGGAAATCAAAAATTTAGAAAGTACAATAATGGAATTAGAGGCCACAAATCAGGTACTGAAAATAAATGGAGTTCATGATTTTGTATTATGTAGCAATATAGCTTCTACACAATTGAAATCAATGGGGTTGAGAAAAAAAACTTAGAGATTTCCAGATATTCCAGATATCAAGGTTTAAATACTTATTAAAATAATGAGTTGTTGAAACATTCAAATCACTTAAAAAATATTCATGGATTTGAGATATTTTTAATAGCATTCAGGGTACCTAACTTCAGCTGCATATTGAAACTATATAGAACTGAAATTCAGCTTAACTTCATGCTATATAGACATATGTATTTGTATTCCTCATTTTTATGCTTTTGAAAGATGCTTAAGGATGAGCATCAGGCCTTACAGCTGACGTACACAGGTCTAGAGGAGAAATTCCGTAAACTGGAGCTGGACAATCAACAACTGCTGGAAAGGTGGATCAGACAACAGGCCAAAATGGCTGACCAGCTCAACGCTGAGAATGACCAGTTCATGTTGTAAGTTAGCCTAAGTGTTATACAGTATACACACATAGATACAATACTAACTGACCAGCTCAGTGCAGAGAATGACCAATTCATGTTGTAAGTTAACCATACACCTGTACATAAATACTTAGCTGACCAGCTCAAAGTTGAGAATGACCAATTCATGTTGTAAGTTAGCCTGAGTGTTATATACACATAGATACAATACTAGCTGACCAACTCAGTGCTGGGAATGACCAGTTCATGTTGTAAGTTAACCATACACCTGTACATAAATACTTAGCTGACCAGCTCAAAGTTGAGAATGACCAGTTCATGTTGTAAGTTAGCCTAAGTGTTATACACACATAGATACAATACTAACTGACCAACTCAGTGCTGGGAATGACCAGTTCATGTTATAAGTTAACCATACACCTGTACATAAATACTTAGCTGACCAGCTCAAAGCTGAGAATGACCAATTCATGTTGTAAGTTAGCTTGAGTGTTATATACACATAGATACAATACTAGCTGACCAACTCAATGCAGAGAATGATCAGTTTATGTTGTAAGTTGCACATATATACAATTAAAGCACTACTGATTAGTGAACCATACCTTCCATGATTGGTATAGCTTGATTTAACCTCTGGTACCCATTAATTCATGTGAAGGATTGGGATTAATGGCAACTGGATTACCAAAATAATGTCTTTCTGAAAATTAAAACCAAGTGTAAAAAATACATGTTCTTCATTTGTTTTTTTAGAGTTAGACAACAGAAGTTAAGAAAAGATTTAGAAGAAGCAGCAAGGGAAAATATTCAAATTTTACCCGGAAAGTATGCATAAAAAATAATTTTTGTACAAATAATTTGATATGGTCATGTGTTTTCTTTGCAATGATATTTTTTATATTAAGCTCATGCATTCAATGTGTAGCCAAATAAAAACGTAAACATTTATTTTATTACAGAGACGCTGGTGTTTTTGTACCCACAGCAATTCCTATATGTCTGAGTGCTTCATTACCTACTAAAGCTCAACATAAATTTGTAAGTCTATTATGTTTCTAATCCTTGTATCCAAATTTATGTTGAAAAATTTGTAAACGTAAGTCTTAAACGAAAAAAAAAAAAATTAATCTTCTTAATGTGTAGTATTCTATCAGCATTAACGGCTGTTCAAATTCTTAAAGATAAAAATGTGCCTAGTGTATGAAACCTTTGGGTAGGGTATTTTGTTATTTATCCAGATGGTCATTGTGTATTTCTTTTCAAGGACGCACATGAAAGTGACGTGAATGCTGTGCGATGGAGCCCCTCTGGAGCCATGTTTGCCACTGGAGGGTCAGATAGAAAAATTAAACTTTGGGAGGTCATAAATGGTATGAAAAGAAGGGCAACACAAAGCATCCCCTCGCAAAGAGCATATCTATTAATCAAGGCAGCATTTGACATCAATTCTGATGCAAATTACATCATTTTGTCAAAAATGACAACTAATTCACAACACACACAAGCCTGTTACTAGTACTTTGCAACTCTGTTGCGAGGGGATAATAAAAAAGTTAGAATGATATAATCCATGCTTTCATGTTTTAGAATTACACATGGTTAATTTACTGGAGATTTGATTAATTTCAGGTAAATGTGAAGCTAAAGGTATCCTGACTGGAAGCAATGCTGGCGTCATGGCCTTGGATTTTGATCCAGAGGTAGGGTATTATACTAGCTTCTGTCTATTGACAAGACAATACAGTACTGCCAAATAATGGATGTTCAATACTACACAATTATTGCTGTTTTTTGAGGTCAATACAATGATTTAGCCATCTGAGGAGCACAATATTCACCGAGCCCAGAGGGCGAGGTGAATATTGTACTTCGAAGATGGCTAAATCATTGTATTAACCGAAAACACAGCAATAATTGTTTTATTATATGATTCACTGATAAAATGATAAAGCTCATTACTTGTTTGCAATTAATTCAGTCCTAGCCAAATACAAAAGAAAAGCAGAATTAAAATGTAAATAAGCCTTACCAGTCGTATCAATTTGAAGTTTTTTATCAATTTTAGTTGCCATGAAAAAAATATAATGTCAGTCTTTTTTATAGGATAGATTTTCAAAGGAAGGAGTATTATCAGGGAAAACTGACTGCTATTTTTAGATCAATGTAGAGGAAATAAATCTTTGTAATGACCTGGAACGTCACGTACAGATCAATAGTATTTTTCTAACATAGTTGGATCTCAACCAATCAGAGAGATGGAAATTATTCAATCATATAATAAAATCAATTATCAATGATATAATGTTTAATATGTTATATGAATTTCAGGAGAGCACTATTCTTGGGGCTTCAAATGATTTTGCCAGCAGGGTATGGTCACTCACTGACCACAGGGTCCGGGTAGGTTCAGAATTTTATTAAAAAAATTATCTAAGATTAGGCTATCTAAATTTAATTCCCTGGTTCTTGGGCCAATTTTCTCCAAAACAGATGAGGGCGGCATTTTATTTTTCAAAATAAAGTAGATGAGGGAGGTATTTTTTTTATTTTAATTTCCGAATTTTCTTTAACATAAAGATAATTTTTTTAATCACAGATATACTTTCCATTTCTGGTCAAAATTTCTGTTTTATCCATTGCTTAACAGCGTGTAAACATCGTAGGTAATGTCCTCGAATGTATTTTCAAATGAAGTAGCCAAAATCTCATTGTAAATTGATATTTGAATACTAAACTACGAAACAAATGAGGTCGGAATTTTTTTTCCAGGATTGGTCTCCGCAATACCAACTTTTTATTTTATCAAAAATACAATAAAATCGGCAATGCGGCTACCTCAAAACGGATGCGCGCGGGCCTGAGAACCAAGATTTCAATTTTATATGGCCTTAAAAGTGATAGAAGTGTAAGAAAAATACAAGTTCATTTACATGCTTGCATGAATATGTAACACATTAAGGAGAGATTATAACAATGTATCTGCAGCACACTCTAACAGGCCACAGTGGAAAAGTCCTTGCAGCTAAATTCCTTGGTGACAGCAATAAGGTTGTCTCTGGGAGCCATGACAGAACTCTCAAAATCTGGGATTTACACAGCAGGTCTTGTAAGTAGAAATATCTTGTGAATTTTATTTCTAGGGCAGGTCACTCTAGATACAGTACAGTCGCACCTGCTGTTACGGCCACCCTGAATCAGCGGCCACTCCCCATGAGCGGCCAGTTTCAATCCCGCCCGTTCATTTTTTCACTATATTTTAACTCATTTAAGCGGCCACCTGTCTAACGCGGCCAGTGGCCAGTGTTTTTAGGTCCCGTTCGCTCAACATGCCTGTTTTCAGCGGCCATTTTGTCTGTTTTGTCACATGACTTCCGTCTGACACGTGACTTCGTATCCTCATACGAAGCCAAACATGAACAGCTGATAATGGGTTAATGACCAATAATTAGAGGTGTAATTTGAATTCTGTCAGAATTTAATAATTTAATTAATATGATTAAATGATTTATTGTTAAAAGATGTTTATTGGTGTTTTTTAATATACAAAGTAAGTTGTTGAATATTTTTATGATATAAACTCAATAGACTACATTATAAAAAAAATAATTACAATTTCGTCTGAGGTTATATAGTCAAGCGGTCAGTATCAGTTTTAACCTTTTATGTTATATTAATAAATATTTATCTTAAAAAACTAAAAAAAAAAACTTTACACAATCAGGGAAATGCCAAGTTGATTTTACCTGTGATGTTAATTCTATGGCTGTAAAATTAAATTACCAACACACACACAAAAACAATAACAGATTTCTTTCAGAAATTCATGTAAAATGAAATGTAAAAGGGAATTAATTTGACTTCAAATTTCCTAAGTTTATAAATATGTTGAAATTGGATTTGGATACGTGTGAAAATAAACACACAGCCATGGTCACAATTTTTATTCATTGGTTTGAAACCTGGAATAAGTGGCCACCTGTCTTATGTGGCCAATTTGTCATTCTCCCACGAGTGGCCTCTTAAAACAGGTTTGACTGTACTTCAAAAAAAAAATTTCCGTCATATCAAGCCATTTTCTGTAAAGAGAGCTATGATATCCTAACTTGTATAAAGGTTTGTTCCGACTTTTGCTTTAAAGAAAAAAGAAATGATTATCAATCCCATGGATTTTACTTTAATTATGCCCACTTAATCAGAGATAAGGGCTCTCATTTTTCACATGTATTTTAAGACCTCTCTTTTTGAATACTATATTTTTTACCCCGTGACCTTGATTGAAAGTTTTTCTTCTTTTAAAAAACTAAAGACATTCATTTTTTGCCATATTCTGAATCTTTGGCATTGGGGCTTTCATATTTCACCAGTATATTCCTTGTGACAAGATCTTTCTTTATAATAGGGTACAAAATTTTTTTATTGTGACTTTCAACTTGTAGTTGATTTACTTTTGAAATCATGTTACCTTGATCATGGTCATAGCTGTTGAACAGTCGATGACTTCGGAGTTACCTACCTTTGAAAGACTTGAACATTGGCTATGAGCCAGCAGCCTTATATGGGCTTCCATGTTTCACAAGACATCTTGTGTTTGGTATGTCTTAATTGACTTGATTTTTTTTCTCTTTAAGGTGTGAAAACAATATTTGCTGGATCAAGTTGTAATGATTTAGTGACTATCCATGGAACTAATATTCTCAGTGGACATTTTGACAAGAGAGTGAGGTTCTGGGATAGTCGTACAGACAGCAGTACCAATGAAATCTTACTACAGGGCAGACTGACCTCTCTAGACTTGTCTCCAGGTAGGAATGATTTTGACCCCCCCCCCCCTCTCCCTCACCCCCACCACCAAAAAGTCTCTTTAAAAGGATTTGTAAGCATCAGACTATTAGTAGTGATATTGAAATACAATGTACTGTTATTTTGACTAGAATAATATAATGAAATGAAAGAAAACTGTCAATTTTCAGATAAGCTGAGTCTGCTGTGCTGTACAAGAGATGACACTTTGAAGGTGTTAGACTTGAGAATGAACCAAATATCTACCACATTAGCGTAAGTCAAAGAATGTTTTAAGATGCAAGAAATACTCATTAAATTGAACCAGTAATGAAAAATTACCATAAAAATTTTAAATTGCACTGCTAAAGCACACAAGCTGATGTTCTGCATTTATAAACTAGACAATTCTGTGATCCACATCTTCATGATGTCACATTGTTTTAATATGTATACCTTTCTTTTTGATTTTCTCTCAATAGCCCTATATAAAAACATTTTCTTTTCAGTCATGACGATTTCAAAATTGGCTGTGATTGGTCAAGAGCTGTTTTCAGGTAAACAAAATCAATTTTGGTTTATATAATTCTATTGAACATGGAATTTATATTTTGAATTGCAGCTATACTAGTATATTGAATAATTCATTATCTTAGATCAAAATTATGATTGTCATGATAAATGCTACACTTTTGAAGTATAGAGAGCTGCATCTCAAAGATTCGTTATAGGGCATTTCCTAAAGGTATCAAATAGAAATATTTAATACACCACTGTGCATAGAAGACTTGAAAGGGAACTTTGATTAGGCCATGCAAAGTTATTTCTTTGGTTCTTAGACCTTTGTTCAAGAAATATGATGAGGGAGGGAGGCATTTTTTTTTTTTTTTTATTGCCCCCAAAACATGATGAGGCAGCTTTTTACATTGTACAAAACCTCAAAAAAAGATGAGGGAGGCGATTTGTTGTTTTTATTTTATTGATTTAGCAATAAGAAGGGTCATTGAGGCACCCTTGGAAGAGATGAGGGGGGGCCTGCATGAGAACCAAGAAATTAATCTTTTATGACCTTAGTGTTGTTATTCTAACAACTTTAAGTACAATGTATGCAACATATACATATTTTAAATTTTTTAACAGTCCAGACACTAGCTATGCGGTCGCAGGGTCCAGTGATGGTGCAGTATTTATCTGGAATGTCAAAAAGGGAAAAGTAGAAAAGATCCTCAAAGAACACACGTAAGTCATACCCATTAAAGTTCAATTTATCTGTTTAATATCCCCACTCCCTTAAAGATTCATTCCAATCAGTATTTTAGGGTCTTAGAAACAGGAAACATTTGTAAGTGATTATTTGACATTGTATGAATGCATAAAATACATTAATTTATGAAATTGTCATAAAGGGGGGAAAAAAAATGTAAGAAAAAAGTCTTTTTTCCTCGTAATGAAGAAAAACACATTTTCTTTACAGGCATTCTGTGATAGCTTGTTCTTGGCACCCGGTGGGTTCGTATGTACTGAGCTGTGAAAAACAACGCAAAACCATTCTGTGGTCCGATATCTGAGCGATTCGTGAAATAGCGACGGTAGAATTCAAAACATCAGGTGGACAGCTGAGAGTGTCATCCAAACAGATAGATTTATATACACAAATGTCATTGGTTTAAAAAGGAAGGTGTATAGAGAGATTCTTCACTCAGTAAGAGTAATTAAAATTTGTCTGTGTGGAACAACCAAACTCTAGCTGAAAGGAAAGGAAAATGACACCTGTATGTCAATAGTGTATTATTTTTTATAAAACGAAAGGAGTGGTTTGTGAAATTTATGCCTCATAAAATGTCTTGGAATTTTAAAAGCACAAAAAGGACACAAAAAAACCTCAATACCAAATAAGCCTTTTAATCACCAATGTGATATCACTTAATTGTGATTTATTTTTGTTTGTTGACGATTTTAATCATGTACTAACTACGAAGTTAATTAAGGCAAATTCTTTCTTTTCCTGATGGGTGCCTACTGATGTAAAAAGTATTTTTGGTCTACTCTTAGAATGGCATAATCTATTTCAAATATACATGAAAATATCCTTGCCTAAAAAGTGACTTTTTAATGAAAAGATGAAGGGTCATGTGAGGCATAAAAAATGCTATACATATTTAATAATATTACATAGAGAACTTGAAAAAAAATCTTTGAAATACAGCATTGATACATTTTGTCCAATTGATGACAAAGCATCCTTTCAGTTTTTCCTTAAGTATGAGGAAAATTTACCAATTACTCTACAGTTGTCCTGTATAGTGAAGTTTGTGTCATATCATGGTCCCATTGCAGAGTTGGGGCCACATGTGGGGTCACAATTTTCAATCAGAACCTAGATTGCTATTTCAGGAATCATAAGGCTACAATATTAGTGTAGTATTAACACTGATTTGCTTATTTTTATAAAAGAACAATGTAACTAGAGTAAACAGTGGGGCCCTATTCTGAAAAAAAGGTTGAAATATGTCAGAGATTAGGAACATAGATTTCACTGCTGAGTTGATAACCCAGTATTTTATACCAATTTAGTTTTATAAATTAAGAGTGAAACATGTTTTCTTTTTTCATTTAGTAGTGATAAATATATTTTTGTTTGTGTTCTTTTCTAAGAACCTTATTTGGTTTTCGGATTCAGCTTAAGAGGGATGTATCCCTGTAGCTTTTATGTGAAAATTTCCATGTATTTTTACAGTGATATATGCTTTTGAAATTTAGATAATTTGTTTTTGGGGTTTTGGATAAAATTATGAAATGTATAAATATAAACAACATTGAATCTAATATATTTGTTTTTTACAATTTGTAGCAATTTTACTAGGTAGAAGACAGTGATGTTTTTTCTAAACATTGCTCATTTACTGCTAAATGCACCACTGCTAGGCTTAGCTGGATGCACTTGTGATGTGGTCGCTTAATTAAAAAGACTAGTCTGCTTAATAATGCACCCTTGTTAATTGACACAAATTCATAGGAAACTTGTTGATATCAACAACTATATATATTTGTGTTAATGACACATCTTTTAAGCTGCTTTAACACACCACTACAGTCCTGAATAATAAATATAAGTTTTCAAATATGGTGCATACTATTGAATGAAAATAGTACACTTTGTTGTAAAACTTGAGTTAATGAAATCTTTTTACTGATTTGTATCTGTAAGAATTCCAGGTGTGAGAGAGTGTGTGAGAGTTGTGCTCTGTCATAACATTAAGATCAGGGTATGTTTGTGTGTTATGAATCAAAAAATCTATTCTTTGATTAAAATGATTTTAAATGCTTTAAGGCAGGTAATGCTTTGGTTGAATTCTATTTTAAACATAGAGTTAACTCAATAGAACTTTCTAAAAGCTTATGATAATTTTTTTTTTTATCAGTTTACCTTTCGACTTTGTTTATGATTTTGTATCAGATTTGATATATGTGCATACATTTGTCCGTTAGGGGGTGTGATATTGTTAATGAATGTAGTTAAACAATTAAGTGTGTTTGTAAATGTTTAACAGTTTGTTATTGGATGTATAACAACAGGCACTGAAATCATGTACTAATTTGAGAATGTGTATGTATGTGAATTAAATTTCTGAATGATTGTCTACAAAAAGCTTGTGTGTTATGATGTTTGTTGTTGAATTAAATATTTATATCTTATTTAAAAAGGCCTTTATTTGGTAATGACCAATATTGCCCCAAAAATCAAACTTTGACAGAGAAATTTATACTGTGAAATCACTTATTTTTGTGGGGGTTAATTTTCATTGTTTTCAAGGTATGGAGAGACCCACGAATTTATGACCACCACGAAATATAAAATTTCATATGCATTACTACTAAACATTTTCCAACTGCGAATTCAAATCCCAACAAACCTATATTTTTTGCTCAAACCTTGAAAATTTGACCCCACGAAAATATTTTACAGTAATTTTGGCCCTGCTCGACAGGCAACCTATAGTGATCAGTCTGTCCTTCCGTCCATCTGTCTGTCCAAGATTTCTTGAATGGAGCATATCTTCTCTCCTTGGCCCAGTCTGGTTCTTATTTCACTCACAAAGTGCCTTTGGGTAAAGGATGTTTCTAGATCTAAGGTAAAGGTCATAGTAGAATTATATGAAAAATCCTTGTCTGGAGCATATCTTCTCACTGTTCAAATGTCATAGCAAAGGTTTCAGTTTTTTTTTTGTTTTAAAAGTATGTTTTTCTAAAAAGGTGAAGGTCAAAATGGCAAACATTATTTCTACCCAAAGAAAGGTCATGTTACGACTTTTCAACTTTATACACAACCATTCCCCACAATTAATTGAAGTCTGAGCTTTTTGATATCATTGACAGCTGCTTTTTCAATAAAAATAATGGAACTCATTAATTTACTCACCATATGTCAATGGTCATTTCCAATTTTTTTTGTTAAAACATTCTGATTGTAGACACGAGTACTCTGAAGGTTACATAAAAAGATGCTTTCAAGAGTTTCTTAGTGAAAATTTCTACGTGGTTTTTGGAGACTAGGTCTTCTTACAATCTATCGGAATACCCATGAACACCACCATTGCACCATGTTATTAGCAGACCTAATTTTGTATTCGTATGAAGCAGATGTTGTCCAAAATCTTATGCAAACTTTTTTACCCTTGGTGAGAAATTCTTCTGTGGCTATTGAACATCAATTAGGGTAAAAAGAGACTATAAGAACTTTTTTATTTGAGGAGGTAAACAATTTCGTTACAGGTGCCATATTTAAAACTGAAATTTCAATGAATATTTTTATGTTTAGATTTACATGCCTAAAAGGTAAGCAATGTAGAAATAAATGTGATAGAGAGTCAAATAAACAACCAAATATAAAATGTGTGGCATGAATTATTCTTGCATTACTACTTGATTTCCAGACATGAAATATTAATGGCTGTCCAGAGATTCTGTGGGCGTCAGTCCAAATATCTAGCCCAGCAGAATCTCAACAGGAATTGCTCTACGTATGTACAATTTCTAAAACAAAGTAAATTATTGACAAACAAGGTGACGAAGAATATTTTATTAATTCATCATTTAGTAAGTTCTATGGTCGATACGATGACCTTGTCAGCAAATACAATTTAATATTATTGAGCTAAATGCTGACTGAGGCTGACGTTTTTCTTATTTATAATCGTATTTACAAATTAAAATTAACAACGGATTTTTCATTTATTTCCCGATCATAACAAGGAGCACACGGCGGGTGTGATATCTTCTCTCCATGGCACCTGATCCCACCTCTGATGTTTGCTTGTTTCACTCACATTTTGTATTGTTTATGCCTTTTGGGTAATAGGATATGCATATATTTCAATAATATATATTCTAGTCAAAATATCTTTAAAAGTATTTCATAAAATCATAATCAAGAATTTGATATATAATATATTATCCAAACCTTGTTTTTGGAGCATATCTTCACAAAAATGAGCAAAACCTGTTCACAATTGATAATAGCAAAGGTTTCAGTTTTTTTTTAACTATAGTTTTAAAATCTACTAGTATATTTAACGTTTTACCTATATAGTTTAAAGGTGAAGTTTATCTGTCTGTAATAAAACGTTAACAACAGATTTTGTTGAAAAACATAGATTCACGTCTGTAAACTATAATTTACAATCGTTAACTATAGTTAAGAGTTGTAAACCATATACGGACTGTAAACGTTAATCTATATTTTACATCTGTATATGGCAAGCAAAATTCACAAAAATGAGCAACACAATTAATTGAAGTCTAGGTTTTCGGTTGTAAACTCATTGACAGCTGCTTTTTAACAACAAAATATTTCACAATTGTAAACCATGGTTAATGCGATAATATGTTTCACAATCGTCATTTCAACAAACAATTTTTTTGTTAAAACATTCTGATTTGTAAACTATAGTACTCTTAAGGTTACATAAAAAGATAGCTTTCACGAGTTTGTGAAAATTTCTCTTATGTGGTGTTTAAACTATAGTTTACAAACGGTCTTCTTTATCAACAATATCTATTGATAACGCTTTATTCAGACAGATAAACTTACCATTGCATTAAACTATGTTAACAACCGTTAGATATAGTTTTATGTAAAACTTACTTAACGTATGAAGCATATTTACGTCCAAAATAGTTTACAGTCCATAAACCTAGTATATCAAATGTGAAACTAGGTTTAGCTCAATTTTTGTGAATTTGGCGTGCCATATCTGTAAACCATAATTAACGCGATAATGTTGGAAAACATAGTTACATATGTATCTGCCAATTAACATTTGTAAACTAATTTACAAATCATTCTTAACGACCGTAAACTATAGTTTACAGACGTGAATCTTTGATTATCAACAAAATCCATTGTTAACGTTTTATTACAGACAGATAAACTTAGATTAGCATTCGTAAACTATAGTTAACAACCGTTAAATATAGTTTTACCGATAAAAACTATACTTAACGAATCGTTAACTATAGTTAACGATTTGTAAACTATAGTTTACAGTCGATAAACCTAGTTTAATAATTGTGAAACTATGTTTAGCACTCCAAATTCAAAAAAATAGGTAATAATAGTTTCACAGTCGATAAACTAGGTTTTTCGGTTGTAAACCATAGTTTACGGACTGTTAACTATAGCTTACAACAAATCTATATTTAATATCTGTAAACCATAGTTAACGCGAAAATCTACATTCATAACCGTAAACTATACTTAACACCGAAAACTATCAATTGCGATGTACATATATTCTAAAATACAGTTTCAATTTGTTAACTATGGTTTACAACTCTTAACTATAGTTAACGATCATAAACTATAGTTTACATATGTGAATCTATGTTTATCAACAAAATCTATTGTTAACGTTTTATTACAGACAGATAAACTTAGATTAGCAATCGTAAGCTATCGTTTACAACTGTTAAATATAGTTTTACAGATGAAAACTTAACATATCGATTTGTAAACTATAGTTTACAGTCGATAAACCTAGTTTATCAATTGTGAAGCTAGGTTTAACTCATTTTTTTGAATTTGGCGTGCCATAGTTGTGAAACAGATTATCGCGTTAACTATGGTTTACAAATGTACTATGATTATCTCATTTTTGTGAATTTGGCTTGCTAAACATAGTTTCACAATTGATAAACTAGGTTTGTCGACTGTAAACTATAGTTTTCAAACCGTGAACTATAGCTTACAATTCGTTAAGTATAGGTTTCATCTGTAAAACTATATATATTTAACGGTTGTAAATAGTTTACGAATGCTAATCTAAGTTTATCAGTCTGTAATAAAACGTTAAAAATAGATTTTGTTGAAAAACATAGATTCACGTCTGTAAACTATAATTTACGATCGTTAACTATAGTTAAGAGTTGTAAACCAAAGTTTACAATCGTGAAACTGTATTTATCAGATAATCTATGATTTGAAATCGCAAATGATTGTTTCGGTGTTAAGTATACTTTACGGTTGTAAAACGTAGATTATCGCAACTAAAATCAGATGTAAAATATAGATTTTGATATAATATATTCGTAAACTATAGTTTATAACTGATAAACCTAGTTTATCGACTGTGAAACTATCTTTTGCTAATTTTTGTGAATTTGGCGTGCCATAGAGAAGTGTGTGTGTGAAAGAGGGTGTGTGTGTAAGAGAGGGTGTGTGTGGGTGTGCGGGAGGGAGAGGGCGTGTGTGTGAGAGAGAGAGGATGTGTATGTGTGCATTAATAAGGGTGTACGTTTTGACACAGTCATGTCATTAAAATGGCACGAATATGTTTTCATATTGTGATCTTTTACTTTCGATTTAAATTCAAAGGAAAGGTTGCAATGGCGTCGTCAACAGGAGACACTGGTTGTATAAATGATTCAGCTGTGTGTCCAATATGTTTCCAAAAGTTTCAAGAAACCGAGGATGTTGCCCTGTTCTCATACTTTTTGTCATTCTTGTCTGGAAGGACTCATCAAATCGTCCTGCAGTAATGCGAAATCCTTTGGATTTACATGTCCTCTGTGTCGAGAATTCATAGTAGCCCCAGGGACAGTGGTGCAGTGGCCTTCAGATAAATGGGCGTCGCTTTTCTCGCCAAACCAATTTATAGAGTATTTGATTGAAAAAGGCTCAGAGGTGTCGACCATTGATTGTGATGCATGTGTCGAAGATGGCGAAGACGTGAGAGCTACAAACTGGTGTAAAGATTGTAGGCGACCTTTCTGTGAAAACTGTTCAAAAATGCATAAAAAGTTTCCAGCTGTACGCGACCATGAAACAGTCTCTTTGAGCGAGATCACCTCTGTCACTAAGCCTGCAGAGATTGTTTCAATTTTTGCACAGTGCATGCACAGAATAAATTGGAACTTTTTTGTAGAGATCACCAAGTACCCTCTTGTGCCTTATGTGTTCCAAAGTTGCATAGAACTTGTGACCACATAGGATCAATATACGAAGAAGTGAAAAAATCTGATAAAACAAAGATTCATGCTGTAGGACTTGTGAAAGAGATGAAAACAATTTGTGATGCGTTTGAAAAATTGATTGAAGAAGAGAAATTGAACATTGCAAGACTTGATGAAAAAACTGACATGTACATTGATATGGTCAAAAGTGCTTGTGAGAGATCAGTGCAGCATTTGAAAAA